CAAACCCTAAACCCCAAACCCCAAACCCTAAACCCTAAACCCCAAACCCTAAACCCGAAACCCCAAACCCTAAACCCTAAACCCTGAAACCTGAGCCCAAGCTCCGAAAGGCTTTCGAGCACGGTTGGTGCTGATGGCCATCCATGGGAGCCTCGGACGCAAGCATTAGGGTTTAGGGTTTGGGGTTTAGGGTTTAGGGTTTGGGGTTTAGGGCTGCCGGAACGCGGAGATTTCCCTTTGGGATGTAGGGCTTAGGGGTTTAGGGCTTAGGGTCTTCGGGTTTAGGGGTCTAGGGTTTAGGGTTTTAGGGTTAGGGGTTTAGGGTTTTAGGGTTTTCGGTTTTTCGGGTTTTAGGGTTTTGGGGTTTTGGGGTTTGGGGGTTTTTGGGTTTTCGAGTTTTTGGGTTTTTGGGTTTTTTGGTTTTTGGGTTTTGGGTTTTTGGGTTTTTGAGTTTTTGAGTTTTTGGGTTTTTGGGTTTTTGGGTTTTTGGGTTTTTGGGTTTTTGGGTTTTTGGGTTTTTGGGTTTTTGGGTTTTTGGGTTTTTGGGTTTTTGGGTTTTTGGGTTTTTGGGTTTTTGGGTTTTTGGGTTCTTGGGTTCTTGGGTTCTTGGGTTTTTGGGTTTTTTGGGTTTTGGGGTTTTTGGGTTTTTGGGTGTTTTTTGGGTGTTTACAGGGCGGTAGGCCGGGTTCCCGTTTTCTTGTCAGCATGCGTCGACATTGCCCGTGAGAGCCCCACAAAAACGAAGGGGCGTACCCTTTCAAGTGGTACTGGGTACTATAGGGGTTGGAATAAATACTAATAGTACTCCCTATGGTCCCTTTTCAATTACACAGTTATACTAGCCTCCCAAAACCCTACTCTACCCCTAAACCCTAAACCCTAAGCCCTAAGCCCTAAGCCCTAAGCCCTAAGCCCTAAGCCCTAAGCCCTAAGCCCTAAGCCCTAAGCCCAAAGCCCTAAACCCTAAACCCTAAACCCCAATTCTTAAGGCCCTTACGTTACCCCAAAGCCGAAGTTCAGTCCGAGGTAAATGCGCGCTACCTTGGCGAGCACTACGACCAGCTTCCGATGCCTACCGAGGAGTCCTGGTCCACACTGGGGTTTAGGGTTTAGGGTTTAGGGTTTATAAGGTTTAGGGTTTAGGGTTTAGGGTTTAGGGTTTAGGGTGCCAATGTTCTCAACCTTACCTGGTGACTCACTCCCTCAGCTATAGTAAGGAGTTCTAAGGCATCATCGCCGATAGTTGCTACACCCTCAACCCCTTCTAATATATGATCCCGGTTCTCGGTTCGCCAGCCCCCCCCCCCCCCCCC